GTGAGTGTAGTTCTGAAAAGAACTGTTGTTGGTGACTGACGTTTCGACAACCTGAGCAGAAGTCATCTTCAGAGTCAAGTGAATAGTGTTTGTTAGTCAATGGTGTTATAAGTCTGGTCCATTGAACGTTATTGGTCAGTTTAGCCATGATGGTATTGGCTGAAAGACTCATGTAAAGTTTGTCATCAGTCATTGGTGGGTTTCGATCCGTCTATTGTTAGTCAAATCACAGGCGACCCAAGCTCTCAATGTTATCCTTTTTTTTTCACTTTTATGTGAACGTTCAGCCTAACGTGACGTATGGCATTTACTATTACATAACGACCGAATTTGACTACGCGAAACGTGACTCTGGCCTTGCAGCATATGGAGGTGTTGTGTTACAATGGTTTGAATTTATAAAGGTTTGTATAAGAATGCAATGGTTTTGCTTGAAAAGTCAATTATTTCATATCATATTTTGTGAATAAAATCTACTTACCCTGTTACTGTGTTGTATTCTTTGTTGTTTGCGAGCTCCTCAGGCCGATCTAACACGATTTCGGCAAGTTATTGCTCTGTGGGTTTCCACTACTAAAAGAAAGACAAGGCCGGACAATGATTTCCGGAGTGCCCGCCGCTCAAAGCGAATAAATCCACTGAAAATAACCCTGCTGGCTCAATTCCTCTGTAGAATTGAAGAAGAGATCTTGAAGTTCCATGTCAGTTCACTCGCTACGCGATTCCATCCACAACGCCTTCGCAACGATATATTTATTTTGAGATTGCTTCGCTCGCAAATTCGAAAACAGCCACTTCACAAAAGTTAGGACATTTTTGCGGTGTTGGGTAACTATAATTAGCCCAACCGGGGGTAGTCAGCAACGATTTGTCAACAGTCAAACNGCAAATTCGAAAACAGCCACTTCACAAAAGTTAGGACATTTTTGCGGTGTTGGGTAACTATAATTAGCCCAACCGGGGGTAGTCAGCAACGATTTGTCAACAGTCAAACCAAAATGCTCCCTGGTACCCTCGTGCTTTATTTGTCAAACCCATAAAGGGAGTGCCCGGTTACCTGCGAATTATAGTTACCCGACACCGCGAAAGTGTCCTAACTTTTGTGAAGCGGCTGTTTTCGAATTTGTGAGTGAAGCAATCTCGAAATAAATATATCGTTGCGAAGGCGTTGTGGACGAAATCGCGTAGCGAGTGAACTGACATGGAACTTAACAAAAACAAAAACAAAAAAAACAAAAAGGCTTTATTTAACGAGGGTAACATAATTTACTGGTTGCCCAGTAGTTTACAACATCTCTTCTTCGATTCTACGGAGGAATTGAGGCAGCAGGGTTATTTTCAGTGGATTTATTTGCCTTGAGCGGCGGGCACTCCGGCCTCTGGCCTTTCTTTTAGCAGTGGAAAACCACAGAGCAATAACTCGCCGAAATTGCGTTAGATCAGCCTGAGGAGCTGGCAAACAACAAAGAATACAACACAGTAACAGGGTAAGTAGATTTTATTCACAAAATATAAGAATAATCGACTTTTCAAGCAAAACCGTTGCATTCTCATACAAACCTTTATGAATTCAAACCATTGTGACACAACACCTCCATATGCTGCAAGGCCAGAGTCACGTTTCGTGTAGTCAAATTCAGTCGTTATGTAATAGTATATGCCATACGTCACATTAGGCTGAACATTTGTGTAAAAGTAAAAAAAGGATAACATTGAGAGCTTGGGTCGCCTGTGGTCAAATTGGTCGGTTTTTGGTCTGTGTATTTTTAGGTCGGTCTGTTAGAAGTCCGTTTGTTGGTTTCGTTTCCGTTTTGGATAAGTCATTTGTAAGGTGCTGGTAGTTGTTGACATCTGTTGAGAGGCGTTTGTTCTAGGTTAGTGTACCAGCTTTCCAGAGTCAATCGTTGAAAATAGTTGGCATCACCATTTCTCGTAGCTCTTTTGTGTTCAGTCAGTCTTGTGTTAAGGTTTCTGCCAGTCTCACCAGTGTAGGAAGCCTGAAAGTCGGAGCATTTGATCTTGTAAACTACTCCCTGTCTGTTGTTAGGTTTGTCCCTGTCTTTCACATTGGTCAGTAAGTGTCGTAACGTAGTTGTAGGTTTGTGGGCTACACGGATGTTGTAGGGCTGTAGGATCCGTGAGATGTCTCAGAAGTGCCCTTAATGTAAGGTATAATCACTGTAGTAACAGGTGTTGGGTTCCTGTTCGTAGCGTCAGCTTCAGTAGGCCGGTAAATGTTTCGTCTAATAAAGTCAGTGTTGTAGATGACTTCCGCTCAGGTTTTCGAAACGTCATTCACCAACAACAGACAATCACACTAAATGAACTACAAAAGTCCTATTGAAAATGATGTTTCTTCAAAGTTCACTCACAAAAAACAAAAGAAGGTTCATAAGCCGATAATTGAATATTGCATGTATATATAAAATAATTATACATAACCATTGAGGTGTAGTGAGAGAAAAGTACTATTATAATAAATGGTTTGAACCCAGGAGTATCAGTAGTTCGTATAGTGTGATCGTCCGGGTGAAAATGATCCATGTAGGAACTAAACATCTACATGTAGGAAACTTAATTGCATTGCTTATTTTAAGGTATCTTCATCGTTGTTGTTGCCACTGCTGCTGTTGCTGTCGCCATTATCACTGCTGTCATCATCATTATCATCATCATCATCATCATCATCGTAAAAACACTTTATGTCAAAACAACATTAGTGTCAGTATATCCCACCAGTGTGTGCTATGTAATCCAGATCCTGTTTAATGTGATCTACAATGTCACATCTCACTCTGTGCAGTTTGTCCACAGCCTGTGGCACCTTCCCCTTGAGATTATACGGTTGTGGTACCATACATAATAATTATTATAACTTGTTCAAATGTGATGTGACTTTTTGCTTGATATTTCAGAAAACCAAAGAGGAGTCTGCAGGGCCGATGTGGTTTAACCTTCCAGCAACTCAGTTAACGCCAGAAATTGAACAGGACATGAAAGTTATAAAAATGAGAAATATCTTGGACAGAAAACGACATTACAAGAAGAATGACTCATCTGCTTTGCCTAAATATTTCCAGGTTATTAACGATTGAATTATTGTACAAAATTATGGTACCAGGTAGTAACATTGCTTCTGTCAACCTTTGCAAATTGGATAAGTTTGTGAAAACGTTTTGCCTGAAGAAAAATCCTGTTAATTCTAGTTTATTGCATCAGAAGCGAGAAGGAAAAGTTTAAAATTTGAAAACATTAACATTTTCTACTGCTCTAAATCTCAGAAATATACAATGCTGGCCCTGGCCCTGGCTGGGGACCTTGCGTTGTGTTCTTGGGCAAGACACTTAACTCTCACAGTGCCTCTCTCCACAAAGGTGTGTAAATGGGTGCCCACAAACTTAATGCTGGGAGTCACCCTGCGATGAACTAACATCCCATCCTCTAGGGAGAAGAAATTCTCCTAGTCGCTTCATGCTACAGAAACTGGGATAAGCTCCGGCCTGATAGGCCACTTGGCTTGTATTCAGACTCAACCTGTTACAAAGTAAAGTACGGTATTTATTTATGGATCATGTCTTTAATTTATTATGAATTGCTTTATTGTACAGATTGGTACTGTGGTGGAGGGATCTGCAGACTTCTACACTTCTCGTATTCCTAAGCGTCAACGGAAGAGTAACTTGATTGATGAGTTACTATCAGATGCTGAATTTAGGAGGTACAGTGTATGTTGGTTGTGCAACTTAATATGATTCCTGTGTAATAATTGGCAATAAAATTTTAATATGTGTGGTTTTTGTTACTGTTACAGGTACAACAAGAAAAAATATTTGGAAATACAGGCTGCAAAGCAAAGTGGAAAGAAAGGATTTCACAAAAAGAAAACAAACAAAAGAAAATCAACTGCAATGAGAACTTAGCCATAGCTGTTTGTTATGTCAGCATTTTAATATTACCAAGATGTATTGCTATGAGATTATTTTATAGTTTAATAATTACACAGAGATTAAAGAGATCCTGTTTTATTTATTGAAGACAGTTTTGTGTATGGTTTTTGGCACCTTCTGTGGTAGAAATACATGTACAAAGTCTGCAAAGCCTGATGTTGATGAACATGGTTTGACTCCTTGAACATAACGAATAGGGTGACAAATTTTTGTCAGGTTTGGTAGTCCAGGGGCTAGAGGCAAAGCAAAAAATCAATTTTTGTGTAAGTAGTTACTTTAGAATCCCTGAATGTTTTCAGCAGGATCGTTGTGTTGAAGAACTATCCATCTCTGAATGCTGGTGACTAAGCAATTTTTTAAATACTTTTCGATGTCACTTTTCTGAAATTGAATCCCCCTTACCAATCCCCCTCCTGGTAATTTCTAAGGGAGGGTTCCACCTTCTTTCTCCCTGTGATATTTTGGACAAATCCCCCAATGTAACTTACTTGCTTTTCTCATAGTAATAAATAATAAAACACTTTAATAGCTGACACAATTACTGGTAACCCAGTAGTTTACATTGTGGGCTATATATAAAAAATATATATATATTTAGTTAAAAAATGTTAAAATATTGAAGAAGTTAAAATATAATACAGCATGCACATAAAATGTATTCGAATATATTACAAGACATTTTCAAAACGTTCTAGAGATGGTAAAATGCTCACGGTCTGAGTACTACTAGTGGACCTACTAAAGGCTCTCATCATGCACTTTTGTTATGACATAACAAGCTTCAGGAGAAACTGGAAAATGTTGCAAGGTAGGGGAGCAGGGACGGGGGGGGGGTGCTTCATTAAAAACATTAAACAAACAAACAAAAAAACAGACAAGTAAATGAATAGACATTTTCTGTATTTCATGTCAGAGTTTGCAAAAATAAGCATCAGAACAAAGTTGGGGTGGACATTTTAATCCATTGCTGCTATAACCTTGACCCAGCACCATTTTCATTGCAATATGAGAAAGTAAAAAACAAACCCATTTTCGTCGCCCGCTCACCTGGCAGGGCTTTGACATGAGGAAAAGGTAGTTTGGAAGAGACATGGGTTGACTGGCTATCCGAGTGATATTCCCCCTAATTTTCAAAACTGCAAGCGTTGCGAAAAATATTTGAAGGATATTAAACAATCCATTTGGCGCAAAATTGTCCTCGCGGATAACCATTACACGACGTGTTATGTAATCCGCTGTACTTAAAGAACGACTGCCTTGTTTGATCTTTTCGTTCCCATGACAACTACTCTAATAGTCGCCATGATTATTGTTTTGTGTGCGAGACGAAGGTTTAATATTTGAGCGACTTGTACTTTGCCATTTTAAGATTGTCTCTCGATTGTTTTAAGTCATGCCTCCAAAAAAGAAAGGAAAGAAAAGTGGCAAGAAGAAGAAGAGTGGTAAAAAGAGCGCCAAAAAGTCTCCCTCTGCAGCACCTTCGAGTGACATCCTCAATGAGTTGTCGAAGGAGTATTTCCTTATCCAGATACGAGACTTGGAAGAAAGGCTTGCTCGCTACCAGAAAAAGTGCGACGAGCTTGAACTGGCAAATCAGGATTACAGATCTCAATACGAACAACAAACAACGGATAAAAAAGAAATTGTTTCGTTTTTGAAAAAGCAATTGGAGCAAAGAGCGGACGAAATAGCTGACCTTCAGGATCGACTGATCGGATTACAACAAGCCAAGGATGGCGAAAAAGATCAATACGAAGTACAGTTAGCTACTTTGAGAACTGAAATGCAGGAAATTAAGGATCAGTTAACATCAGAGAATATGGTTTTGGGTGGAAAATTAGCTTCACTGGAAGAGTTTCGTGTTCAAAAGGAAGATTTGATGGCAAAGTTTGCAAAGATGGAGGAGGAACTGGAAAAACAGCAGAAAGAACATAAAGACGTCATTTACAATTTGGAAAGGAAAGCTGTCGTTGACAAGGACAGGTCTGTGTTTTTCTTTTTAAAACACTTACAAAAAGCGAGATTTTGTTAGTTAATTATCAACTGTAGCTGTTGAATGTCCCTTATTGGGTCAATTTGACTTGAAGTCTAACTTGGTAGTTAACTTCACATGGAGATATGTAGGCATGGTTGATATGCATACTATAAAATCACAAGGCATTAATGGTCTTGGTGCTTGCAGTTAAGTATGTGTCTATAAGAATTTTTGTTGTAAGGAGAGATAAATATGGTACGAAAGAACTTATAATGTAGTTGTGCTAATGTACATTGTATGTTGTTACCACCTTATTTCTCCCAAGAGCCGGTAAAGTATTCTGTTAATAATATTGATATACATGTAATATATTGTATTCCTTATTTGACCCAGGTTAAAGAAAGAGATGGTGCTGCGACTGAACCAAGTTGCTGCAGAATTTAGGAAGGTATCAAACAAACAGATGGCCGAAACAACCAAAAGAACAATAAGAGAGAATGTCTCTATTAATGCACAGCTGGCTAAGATGTCAGACAAAACCATGGAACTCATTCAAGAAAATGATGAACTGAGAACCAGGGAGAAAAAGATGAAACTTCAGATTGATATGCTGGAACATAACGAGAAGGAGCTGGCCAAGAAAAACAGCAGCAATCAAAAGGTGAATACGCAGTTAATGCAATCTGATTTTAAGGGTTTTTTTAGGACTTTTTGTGTTTGCTCCATTTATCAGAATGTAGAACAGTGAATGCCCTAACATCAAGAATCAGCTATCTCTACAACACAGCTTGAGACTACTCAGTGGGTCTTTGACTTATCTAAGCCTTTGTATAAAATTCAGCTCTCCTAACTCTAAGGAAAACACCTCACTGAAGCAGAAAATTTCACTATCATAGAGTCATTGACTAGGTATCAATGTTAATATCTGTGAGGCATCTCAATGGGACATAAGCTTAGAATCTGTAATAAATAAACTTCAGCAGGATTTGAAGAGTGCCTGCTTGTATGGTTTCAGATGATCCGTATGTTGGCAGAGAAAGCCAAACAACAAGAGGAGATGCTGGTTGAATATGATGAGTTGGAAGGACATAATAAAGACAGGGAGAGTGAGGTGGAGCTGCTTCGAGCACAGGTGGATAGCATCAAGGAAGAATTGAAGGTGGGTTGTTCCAAATGTTACTGGATTCTATGGGGAAGTTGAGCTAGTGATTGATTTAAGGTAAATCTAAACAGCCTTATGACACTTGTGAATGCAAGGGTTTTATGACAGGCTGCCATAGAACCCTTATGACAGGCTACCCAGTAATGCTATTCCTTGCTCCTGGCTCAAGTTTTAAACAAAATTCCTGAAAATGTACCTGTATCTTTTAATTTCCTGTATAACATGTGTAATATATAATATATTATATTGTCAATGGTGTGAACAAACTTGACTTGTATTGAATTCTCCTCAAACTGTTTTAACAGAAAACAACAGAAAACAAGGAATCTCTAGAGAATGAACTTGCAAAAGTTACAAAGGACAGAGATCTGTCCATGAAGAAGAAAGATGAGTTGACTGGAATTCTTTCTCAGGCTGCACAAGCTCTCAGAACTTCACTGATGGTATGTTGTTTATATGTAGACAGTGCTACACGCCTTACTGTTGCCACGTAGGAATGTTTTTAAGAACTTTTTGACATCTTTTTGACAATTTCTGAGTTAGCTTCCATTTCAAATGGCCAGTGAAACTGCGACAACTTGCTGCCAGTTTCAAATGTTTGCAGGTTGACACTTCAAATTCTCAAGAGAGTGAATGGTGAATTTGACAATTTTTGATAGTTGGTTGAAATAAAAGCCAGCAAAAAGTTCAGAAAGTTGTCAAAAATATTTCAGTTTAAGGTTACAGTATACCTTCAGATTGGCAATTTCCTTCAAATTTGGATTTTTGGTTCAAAGCAATGGTCAAAGAGTAGTCTCTAATTTCTGAAAACAAAATTGAAAAAAACTTAATATTGGCAGAGAAATGGAGGTTTTACATTATGGCTGGAAGTAAAAGTTCCCTCTTAATTGACATCCCTATAACATGTACGCAATCAACCGAGACTACTTTCGCGGGAATATTACCTATATGGATACCACGAATTGGCTGGCTACTCAGTTAATCAGCATTGTTATCCAAGCATTTTTCGTATTAGGTGTAATTCTATTAAGTTATAAGTAAACATGGACCACGGAAAACTCTGTTTACCAGTTCGAAAAAGTGAACAACGAATGAAAACACATCAATGAGTGAAGAAGCAAAAGTTGGCCTCGCGGATGAAGCTATAACTATCGTATCAAACGGGCAAAAAGATCAAGTCAAGAGAAGAGAAAGGTTCTGTAAAAATTTGGGAACTCAACAGCGATAACAGCAATGTTTACAGTGACTCTTTTGTTGAGTCTGATACCGATGAATCATCCAACTCATTGAGATCCACTGGAATATTATCCATGTACATTTGCTCCGCTGTGCTTTCTTTTGTTCAGTTTGTTCTCATCGCCCAGCCACTCTAGCGTTTGTATCCTTTTTCGTCTTCCCTATTTTGCCAGACCAGCTTTAAGAAAAACCGAGCTTGAGCGTATTGCAAAACACAAGGGTGTTTTGGAGATTCATGTGTAAATTTCACCGTGAGTCAATGGTAGTAAATTTTCCAAGCACTGATTGGCTCAGTGATCTGAGAACACTGTTGAAGGCGTTTGTGGGCGGAGTTTGTTTGCGAAGCAAGAGATTTTTCCTTAGCGCTGTTTTCTCGAATACATTTTTTCGCTTGAAGCAGACACTTTAAAGAGTTACAACTCAAAGGGGATTTGTTTGATTGCCCTCAAATTTGGACAGTAGCTAGATTAATATATAAAA